CGGCACCCCCCGTACACGAAGTACCGGCAGAGGTGGAACTGCCGGCAGCCACCGCCGCACTTCCCACTACCGTGCTCCCGGCACAGCCGCGCCCCAGTGGTAGCCACCACAACACGGTGCTCCTCGCTGCCGGCCGCCGAGGGGGGGTCCTCCCGGGTCACCAGCGTGAACTTCGTCTTATCCTGCAGTATCAAGGCCAGGCCCTCCGAGGTCAGCCGGACCTTTATGTCGCTGACTTTCAGAGAGCCGCCCGCGGCGCACACCGCCCGGAGGATTTCGCCGGCGAAGACCGTGTCCATCCTGGCCTAGGAGCCTCACCCCTTCCTCTTCCTTTTCCCCTTCCCCACCAGCCGCAGCCCCCCAGGCGACCACCTCCTCCTCCTCCACTGAATTCCCGCCCTCAAGATCGCTCGTCCCACCCCCTCGGGTCAGCCCAGAGTTTGCTCTGCTGTTCCCTTCCCTGCTCGCTCCCCGGAGAAATGAAACCGAAAGCAGCCGAGAGCTTCCCAATAGAACAAGGCGCAGCTGGGTTGCTAAGCAACGGAGGGATGGGAAAAGTTTAACTTTTACTTCTGAATCGACAGTCGAGTGCCAAGGGCCGGGGCCAGAACGGTGCGCGAGCTTTCGACTCGCCCGGGACTCATCATTAGGCGAGCAGCAAAGGCAGAAGTAGAAGTGATCCCAAATTATGCTAGGAGTTATGGTGTAAGGTTAGGCTAGTTTCCCATATCACACTGTGCGAAGTTATGGCTTTGGCTTATTAGTTCATAAGCAATGGTTACTTGGTTAGGCACACAGAACACACTAACATCATGTTTTGTTAAGCCAGATGACATAACATGGAGTGTAAGTCACCTGAATCTTAAAATGGAGGCTACAGACTAGAAGTAATAACATCTGGCTGGGAAAGCTGGACCACCAGAGTCATTGGGAGCAGGTGGCTTATAAATTTAATTAATAAAAATAAGGCTGAATGAACAACAAAATGATGCCTTTGAATTGTGGTGCTGAGAAAATAGTTGAATATTCCTTGGACCACAAGAAGAACAAATTGTTCAGTGCTAGATGAAGACAACCAACCAACTTCCTGGAAGCCCTCATGAAGAAGCTAAAACTTAGATATTTTGGACAGGAAATCCAGAAGCAGAAGTCACTGGAAAAAAATGAAGGCAATAACAAAAGGCCAGCAGAAGACAAGGTGGCTTAAGTACTAGCCCTGATGACACAAGCATGAGCTTACAAGAATTCAAAGAAGCAATTACCAACAGATAGTGCTGGCAGAATGATGTCCATCAAATCACAGAAAGTCAAAAGGGAATGAATGACAACAACTACCTGATTATGACTCAGTTCACACAAGAAAGAGATAAGGAAACATAGCTAATTCTAATTTACTTCAACACTCTTTGCTATACCTCCCCATACCTTCCTTTCTTTGTAAACCCTTCTTCCATCATGTCACCACACTGCTTCCAACATTGCTGTTTGTTCTTTAAACTTCTTACCTCTCTTTGAGGATCTCACCAAATCCATTGAACCATGACCTTCTCAGTCTTCCCATTTCTCTTGACGTATTCCATTACATATTTGTTTTACAAGTCATTCTTTCAAAGCATTTCAATATACTTGTTACTTTGGTATTCAGTTGATAATTATTCAACACCCATTTTAAGTTCTTGATTCCCACTGCAGTTGATGTACTTATGTTTCTCCTGACATACCCAACTCTCACTTTCATATAGCAAAATGCACAGAAGTGTGTTATTATATACAGCCATTTTTGTTCCTTTGGATATCATTTCCTTGCAACATATTAGATATGATTCACTAGTAGTTGCATATCTTAAAATTTCTCCATGCATTTTCCCCATCTTAAGTAAATATTCTGTCCAGGTAAACAAATGGATTTGTTTAAATTCATATACTCTAGTTTTTGCTTTTATTACATTTATTATATATCCTTCTCTTAGTTCATGCTTAGAACTTAACCATTCACTAAGCATTCTGTTTATTCTCACACATTTTCTACTTCATCATATAATTTACAATAAATTACTGAATTTTCTGTTAAACACAGCTACTTTGGATTTTGAAACACTTGATATAAGTGCTAATGTGATGCAATGATTAAAGTGTTGGACTAGGAGATGGGAGACCCAGGTTTCTAGTCTACCCTCCCCTATGGAAGCTTATGGGCAATTTTAGGCCATTCACTCTCTCTCTCAGCCAAACCTACGTCACAGAGTTGTGGAGAAAATTAGGAGAAGGGTGTGCCATGTATGCAACCCTGAACTCCTGATTTAAAGGCAGGATATAAATCAAATAAATTTTCAGCTTCATCTTTCTCATTGCATCATATAATGTATCTAATATTGTCAGCCCATAACATGATATTGTACAAAGGTACATGCATATTTGTGTCCCCAACCAGCCCTTTTAAAGTCAACACAAAAATGCCTTATACATTTATCCATAAATACATTAAACAACCAAAGGGATATTACGTATCCTCGTTTTAGTTCATGCTTAGAACTTAACCATTCACTAAGCATTCTGTTTACTCTCACACATCCTGTACTTCATCATATACCACTCTTATTGCATTCAGCTTCATATTTTGGCACATTCCCTAATAACACCTATTCACTTTTATCATATAGGAGGAATGCCTGAAGGGCCAATGTGAGGAATTCCCTAGGCATCTGGAAGAGGAAGTTGCTCAGATTCACTCAGAGTAGAATGCTCTGGACAGATCCTGAGGAGATGGCCAAATCTTTGTCTTGCAAAGTTAACCGTGATAAGTTTAATACTGTGATTCCTGAGGAAGTAGACAGGGTTCTCTGCAACATCAGCTCAACCCCTCACAGTCTGGACTCTGCCATTCCATATAGGTAAAAGCCATAACAGAGGTGATGGGGAGTGGGATTGGGACAGTGGTGAATGCACTCTTCAGAGTGGGAGTGTTACCCCCTTCTTTGAAAAAGGCAGTGGTATGCTCCTCCTCAGGAGGCTATGGCTGAACCCAGATGTACTGGACAATTATCAACCTGTTTCCAACCTCCCCATTGGGGGAAGGTTGTGGAGCAAATGGCAGATTACAACTGCAGAAGACCCTGAAGGAAGTGGGTCTGGACCAATTGCAGTCAGGTTTCAGGCCTGGGTTCAGCTTGGAGATGTCACTGATTATGGATATTAATGATTTCTGGTAGGTAGTCCCTCCTGGTCTTGCTGGATGTCTCAGTAGCTTTCAGTCATAGTATCCTTCTGAGCCACCTCTGAGGGTTAGGAGTGTGGGTTACTGTTTTGCAGTGGTTCTTTTCTTTCCTGAAATGAGAGTTTTGGGAAAGGGAGAAACTCCTAACTCCTCTATTGTGGGGTGCCACAATGCTTAATGCTGTACCTGGTGCTATTTAATATTTACCCCTAGGTGAGATCATCTGTTGGCATGAGGCCAGGTTTCATCAGTATGCTGATTATGTCCAACTGTACATTTTGACCCCTGGCTGAATAAATGCTGCTGTTGAAGTGTTGTCCAGATGTCTATAGGCTGTCTGGGTCTGAATAAAGAGGAACAAGTTCAGATTCAATCCCAGAGAGATGGAGTGAAGTTCAAAGGCCTACTGATTCCAGTGAAATTCCATCATTAGCTCTGGGTGAGTTTGCAGTTTGAGTTTTCCCTGAACAGAGCTAGTTTTCCATTTTGGAGTTCTCTTGGACTCACAGTTCCTGCTTGAGGAACAGATGACACCTATAGCTAAGAGGGCTTTTGCACAGCTCCTTCTTGTGCACCACCTGAAACCTTTCCTGAAGCAGGATGCATTACTTACTGTCAATTCCTGGCTTAGTTAATCCCTTGACTGATTGCTTTATCCCTTGGTGCTAATTGTCACCTTTAAAGCCCTACATCATTCAAAGCCTCGGTGTCTGAAGGACCATTATCTTCCAGCAATATTTGGCTGCCTGATAAAATCTATTAGGGCAAAGTCTTTACGTGTCCCCTTGATTAGAGAATCCATCTTCAGGGGCCACAGAAGCATGCCTTTTCAATCGACACCCACCCTTTTATGGAATAGTATTCCTCAATATTCAGGGAGCCCTTTCCTTGCCTTCAGGACATTAGTGCAAACTTGGCTATCAAGCCATGGACTAGGCATGAGGCATGTCGACCACATTTTAGGTCATTATTTAGGTCAAACCGAGAGTGAACAGCTACTTTATGGTTCAGTGACTTATGTGAACCTCCCAAATGGATTAATTAGGTAAACCAATAAATAAAAAAATAAAATATAAATAAACCAAGATAGGCAAAGTTGTTTGGCAGAAAAATATTTAAAATGCAGTGGGCACATTCCCAAAATGTAAGTTACTTTCACATATATAAAGCTTATTAATCATAGTAGTATAGATTACCCTTTGAGATAGAGGAAGAAGCAACACTGACATGGCTGAAGTTCAGCCTTCTCATCTCTCTTCTCTGAACTAGCATCTTCTTGAACTGCAGAGCTATAATCATATACCTCCATTTAAAGGTCATTGGAGCTTACTTCTGAGAAAATAATAGGACTAGAAAGTAGCACACGGGACTAAGTGACACTAAGTCCAGTCAACACTTGGACTGTTCAGTGCTTCAGATTCCCTCTCCAAAGGGGCTTTGGAATGTATGGGATGCCAAACAGAGCATCTGTCTGCAACCCTTTAGAGTAACTGTATCTTTTCCCAGGATCTTAGGAGAAGATATAGCTACTTTAAGTCATTTGCAAGCAGGTGCTACATGTTCACTCTTGAACCCCTGGAGGCACATTTTGGAGGTAAAACCTGAAGTTCTCTACAGTCCTAAGAAATAAAGCATAATTTATGTTGCACAGCAATATTTTGCAAAAGTGACATAAACAAGGAATAAACACACCTAGCGAATTATACTCAATAATTCATTACCATTGACACTTTTAAGTAGACATAGTATCATAAAACACAGAGCAAGCCACAAACGTCTTGACTCTCACTTCTGTGTATGAGTTTTAATCATGCAGATATGGATCCACAAAGCCCAAAACAAAGCATAGGAAAGCAGGAAAACTATCACAGCAGCAAAAATCTAAATTTTGTGAACCATTATTCTAGAAGGACTAATGTAATTCCTCTTTAAGGTTATCTATTAAAGTGAACAAACATCATTTGTGTCAGATGAGATGGCTTTTTCTGTTGCTTTTAAAAATCTGACTAAGAATGCAACAACATTTGATAACAGCCAGACCTATCTTCACAAGACAAGGCCAAAGGCTATTATCTTAAAGAAAAAATCCAAGGGAGGCCTGCTGGATATGTGCCGATTTTTGTGTGTGTGTTTGTTAAGATCCATCCTTATTCTCTGCTAAGAGACACCATGCTAACATTTATAATTGTGAGTTGCTAATCTTACTGTCTTCAAGGTTGACCTCCATTCTCACAGCC